CTGGAGCTCAGAAGCGGTGGAGGGGATTTAGCTACTGCTCCAGCCTTGGAGGAGAGGGCTTGCAACACAGATACCTCACCCAAGGTCCCAGGCCTCTGACAACACTGAGTGCCTTGGGGATGGGCAGCATCCTCCTGCCTCAGCATCCTCATCCCGCAGCAGCTCCTGCTGGGCTTCTGCAGCCCCCAAGTCATCCACAAGCCTTTGCTACCCAGTATGACCGCAGCAGCTCGGGGCCAGGGAGCTGGGCACTGGAAGCTGAACCTTCCCAAGGCAGATGGGAATCAGGAGTCCTTCTCCACAGCCCTGCAGCCCCTCTGGAAGCCCATCGGCTTTCCCAGCCAGAGGGATGCTGGTGTGGTCCCTGCTGGGGATGGAGCCGAGGACGACGAGACGGCTGGTCTGTGCAGGGATGAGCAGCAGCACTGTGAGCTCCAGTGGCCTGCAGCCACCACAGGGGAGGGATCCAGAGCTCAGTGTAGGTCCCTCAGATTGGAACTGAGTAAGAGCTGGGAAAGCTTCAACCGTGAAACACTTCCAGCTGCAGCTTCCATTGAATGGAGCTTCCAGGAGGCAGCTCCAATACATAGCCCGTGGTTATTAAAAACACAAACTCCAGCACTAGCTGGAACATCAGCCCCTAATGAGATCATTTAGAAAATGGGCTGCAGAGATCCGGCAGAAGAGGCTGTGTTTATGCAGGATAAAAGTGCAAGGAGAGGAGGGCAGTTCCTTTGCTGGCCTGCAGCACCAGGCAGCCCACCAGCAAATGGGGACATTTCCTGGCTGGTTCTGTGCACGGAACACACTGTTGTCAGCAGGACTCTGCCCTTAACAGAGGATTTAGTTTGGCAAAGGATCCACACCCCACCAAATCTGCCGTAAATCACAGCCCCTCCAGAGCTGGGCTGTGATTCCTGCTCTAAAATCCTGCAGAATTGGTTGAAATACATCAAGAGCCTTACTGAGAACAGAGGATGCTCCCAGGCAGCACCCGTCCTCAGCGGGGATGGATGCTCTGAGCTGAGGGCTCTTTCTGAAGCCAGCCTGCAGCAGGGCCAGGCCTGCCCGCATCCTGCCTGCTCCTGAAATAAAAGACCTGTCTAACTCCGGATTTACAGCACAGAGGAATTCCCAGGGAGCTTATATATCGCCTGGAGGGGCCCATCCATAAACCCCTCGTCAATAGAGAGCACATTATCTCCCCGGTGCCGTGAACTGCGGCAGAGCAGGAGATCAGTCATCCCCACAAGGGCTGTAATGACAGGAATCCAGCAGTGGCTGCGTCTCTGACAGCCTCAGAGGAAAATGAGGTGAGTCTGTTGGACATAAATTAGATGGTGGTTCAGCCCCAGGAGATCACAGGGCTGCTGATGGAGAGGAAACGGGGCCATCGGCCCCGGCAGCCTCCTGCACAGCCAGGGACACACGCGTGGTGGCAATTGGTGTTGGGGACACACAGGCAGCAAAACCTGCAATGAGCGTTTCTTTTATGTTGCTTTCAGGTTTAAGCATCAACCTCCCCTCAAAGAGGGGGAACAGGATGGGGGGGTCACCCCTCCAGGGTATTTTTGGCTCTGCATGGGGCTGCAGGAGGATGCTCTTGTCTTGCAGGGGGACCACTCGGTGGGCAAGTACCGCTGCCTCCTGTGCCAGAAGGAGTTCAGCTCCGAGAGCGGGGTCAAGTACCACATCATCAAGGCTCACTCCGAGGTAAGGAAGTGGATGGGGATGCTCCAGGCTGGTCCCTGCTCCATCACACCCATCCTCGGGCTGCCCTGCTCCATCCCTCCATGTCTTCCAGGAGCAGAGCACAGCAGCGTCAGCAGTGCTGTGACAGTTGGGGAGGGACATCTCTGTCCCCTTTTGGGTCCCTGTCACCCCCAGGGCCCGTTGGGCAGCTTGTCCTCGGGGAGGTGACGCTAGCAGGGATGGGGGGTCCATGCACGGGCTGTGTGTGGTGATGATAGCCCCAGGACAGTCACTAACCCCCGTGTCACCCTGTGGACACAGAACTGGTTCCGAACCTCCTCAGAGGCCAGCCGGAAAAAGAAAAGCAGGGAACAGCTTTCTTCCAGCAAAGAGGAGAAGAAGAAAAGCACAAATGGAAAGAAAAGGGGGAGGAAACCCAAGGAGAGGCCTCCGGAAACATCCCTGAAGGGCAG